GGCCACCTCGTTCAGGCGATCTCGGACCGATTGTTTTGGCGCGGATCCGAGCGCGATTGCCGTGTTCACATATGCCAAAACGAACCGAGCTAAGGGGGGAAACGTGCCAGGTTCCGAAACAACAGGCCAGATGTGAAAGCACCCTAAATGCGCACGCGCACTAGTCTAACCTACTAGACTTCATCACCTAATGTATGCGTGAACTCTCTCTGTTGGTGTGTTTTGTGTTTGCTTTTCGCGATATACTCATAATATCTAATCGCACATCGTTAAAACAATAATTCCGATATTATCGCAGACCATAGGCTACATATCGCACACCTCTATGTTTAGATTTTTATAATGCATTGTCTTCTTATTCATCCACCAGTTCACATTTAACGCTCTGCGTGTTTGCAGGGTAAAAACATGGGTTGATTTTCGCATTGGTCTGAACTCTGAACAAAACAACAGTTTTATTGAAAATGCTCATTCATTCTCTGACAGCAGGTGGAGCGTTTGGTAGAAATATAACTGTTTTCCCGGTAACGGCAGAACACAAAGCAGCGCAGCACCCTGACTTTGTACCTGCAGCGCTGCTGTTTATTCAATGCAATCATAACGTTAGCCTTTTGAAGTTTCATCGTCACATTCAGCCATATCGTAATTCTGGTCTTTCCGTCCCCAAATTTAAGACCTCTTGAAATCATAATTAAGACTTGTACAATTTAAGACTTTTTAAGGCCTTAAATTTGATACAACTAAATTTAAGACTTTTTAAGACCCCACGGAAACCCTGTTTTATGGGCCTAGAAAATCACATATCATTAATGTGAAAAATAACTAGTGTGACTTCTAATCAGTGATATTTTAGTATTATTTACATATATATTACTATAGTATTTATGAATATTTTGAATTTAAAAAAATTTTGTTTTCAGTTTTCATTCTTGCTTCAAGTTTGTCATATATATATATATATATATATACACACACACACACACATTTAATATTTCTATATAGCTTTAATTAATTTTATTTGGATTTTAATATTTTGTTTTATTTCAACTTTATGCCAATTACTACTTTCACTTATTTTTAATAGTTTATTAGGTAATTGTGCTTATATTTTCTGTATCACACAATGTGGACTCACTCAAAGAAAAAACAAAATAGCTACTCACATAAACAAGGGATATGCAAAATGGTTTTGTTAACATTGTATACTGTAAGGTTTATAACACAATTAAATAGATAGGGCTGAAAATCAGCTTGAAACCATTATGTCATCTTTATTCATTCATAATCAAATGTTTGATCATGGAAGAGTAAGGGACTGTCAGAAGGTAAATGTGAACTGGGTCTATGTCATGTGTTCTTATAGGCTATTATATGTTATACACTACCAGTCAAAATGTTTTGAGCGGTAAGATTTTTTCATGTTTTTAAAGAATTCTCTTCTTTTCAGCATCATTACTCCAGTCTTCAGTGTCACATGATCCTTCAGAAATCATGCTAATATGCTGATCTGCTGCTCAAGAAACAGTTATTATTATTATTATTATTATTATTATTATTATTATTATTTAAAACAGTTACAGTATTCAGAAATCATTCTAATACGCTGATTTGCTCTTCAAGAAACATTTATTATTATCAATATTTACTACAGTAAATTTTTTCAGGATTCTTTGATGGATAGAAATATCCAAAGATCAGCATTTATCTGAAATATAGAAATTATAGAAATTAATACTTTTATTTAGCAAGGATGTTTTAAATTGACGAAAAGTGATGATATAATGGTACAAACTATTTCTATTTCAGATAAATGCTGTTCTTCTGAACTTTCTATTCATCAAAGAAACCTGAAAAATTATTCTCAGCTGTTTTCAACATAATAATAATAATAATAACAGTAATAATAATAAAAATATAAGAATTAAAAGCTAAAAATTCAGCTTTGAAATCACAATAATAAATTACATTTTAAAATAAATTAAAATAGAGAACAGTTATTTTAAATCATTTGAAAAAAGATTTCAAAGCTTTACTGTTGTTGCAGTACTTTGGATCAAATAAATGCATGCTTGGTGAGCAGAAGAGACTTCTTTAAAAACATAAAAAATCTCACTGTTAGTAAATGTAGTTTGATAAGACTGATATGTAGACTACATTCACTTTCAAAAAATATGACTGTGGATTTGTTAATATATAGTTTACGGCTTTAAAATGTTTATTTATATTTTGAGAAATTAGTTGTATAACAAGTTGAGAGTCATCTGTTGCTATTCCATGTCAAACCGCATGGTGGCACTGAAAGCTGGTTACCCATGAACTCCTGCAGCACAGTCGAGGAAGAAGGTTCCAGTGGATTTGACATTCGTAAGCGTGAGTCGCGTGACTGGAGAGCGACTGTACTGCAGCCAAAGACGTCGGATGCACAATGTCCCAGCAGTCTCCAGCCGACCCTGAACGGCCAGGAAATGCAGTCGTGGTGTGTTTGGTAACAAGCACCACCTATAAAGACAGAAAATGATAGAGTGATGTTGCCAGGTTATTCACTGTAATGCTGAATGCAGCTGGTCTCTGTAGTCTTAACATATACAGTAGACCTGCTTATGCATGAATGCATGCTACATCTCACCTGTCTTACCATTGTAATATTATGTTTTTGGACATTTATCGTTGTGATATTTTTGAGGGGTTTAAAATGCAAAAAAAAAAAAAAAATATTAAACAAAAAAGATATATTAAAGTTCTAATAGTTTACTGTTAAAAAAAAAAAATCCAATCCATTAGTTCAGGGAGCGTTGCCATATAATACATTTAATTGGGGATGTACGATTTGGGGTAATGTAATTTATAAAAAAATTTATTAAAACGATTTAAAACAACAACAAAATAAGATATATTAATATTCTCATAGTTCATTGTAAAATAAAGAACCCGTAGGAATTGATTACATCCCCACAGAGGAGGAGAGGAGAGTGTTCAGGGAGTGTAATCAGGAAAGCTTCTGGTACAGATGTGAGTGGATGTCCAGTGCTTATTTTCATTATCTTGCTTGTGGTTTTGTTGATATCATAAGTGAATGATGTTTCTTTCTTTACGTTCCTACAGCTCTCCCTATATCTGCCATCAGCATGGCCTTCACTCAGTTCCTTATCTCTAGAGGTGGGTTTATACTTTATGCATAGGATAACATATTTCAAATAAATGGTGTTCTGAAAAAAAAAAAATGTACCAGTTTTCACACACAAAAAAAAATTCAACACTGATAAAAATAAGAAATATTTCTTGAGCATTAAATCAGCATATTAGTATGATTTCCGAAGGAGCATGTGACATTTAAGATGAGTAATGGAACTTAAAATACAAAACAGTTATTTTAAATTGTAGTAATATTTTTCACAATATTACTGTTTTACTGTATATTTAATCAAATAAATGTGGCCTTGGATGAGCCTAACTGATGTTAAAGGGGTCATATGATGCTATTTTAAAGATCATTATTTTGTGTATTTGGTGTAACAGAATATGTTGACA